ACGCACGCACACACACACACACACACACGCACACACGTTCACACATGCACACACACGCACACGCACACGCACACGCACACACACACACACACACACACGCACACACACGTTCACGCAAACGCAAACACACACACACACACCCACGCACGCACGCACGCACGCACGCACTCACGCACGCACGGACGCACGCACGAACACACGCACATACACACACACGCACACACAGAGAAATACACACAGAAAGACGCACAGAAATGCTCACGTATCCCAAGATTTCCCATCTGTTCATCTGTGTTCTGGATTCTCGTCTTCCCCCCCACTTCCCATACTTTCCCATATTCTCCAGGGGCATCGGCGATTCATCGCGTCTGCGTTTTTTCCCTCCCTCCTGAGCTGCGTCCATGCCAAGGCGCAGCACCACCCGCACCACGGGCCGTGAGATGTCTGGGCGGCGCATTGGGGGCGGAAGCGGCCCCCCTCTGCAGCAGATCCGGCATCGCCGGAATCGTCCGCGCGGCGCTCCCGGGGAGCAGCCGCCGCGCTGGAGCGCGCGCTAGAGCGCGCGGCGACCCGCGCCTTGGGAGAGGGGCGCTTCGTGGCGGTCGGCAGCAGGAGGTAGGCAGGAGGTAGGCAGGGGGTCGAAGATCGAACCCCCGAGGACGAGGGGCACATCGGCCCAGGCAGCTATTCCGCCTGGGACCCCTTCCTGTCCTTGTAAGGGGCCCGCTCGCTCAGGGCCCCACCGTCGTGAGCCGCCGAGACCTGCGCGGCTCGCCCAGCTGACAACTTCCAGCTCCCCGAGTGGCGCAGATGGCCGCCGGGTAGGAGGGAGGAGGAGGAGAAGGAGGAGGAGGAGGAGGAGGAGGAAGAGGAGGAGGAGGAGGAGGAGGCGGGGACTTGGGACCCCCGCCGCCCCCGCACCGCCCAGGCCTGCGGCGGCCGCCCCTTCCAGCGGGGACTTGCCAGGGAGCAGGCAGGGCGCGCGAGCACGCAGGCGCTCGTGCGCAGCCCTGGCGCGGAGCAGCGGCCCGGCACAGCAGGTCGTGCGATGCGGCGCCCCCAGGGGGGCCCTGCGGGGGACCGCCACGCTGCCTCTGGACCTGGGCCCTGTGCCCTTGCCCAAGGGTTGCAGGGGGCGGAGGGCGAGGATGAGGAGGGGGCCCAGCTGGCCGTGAGCTGCTGAGTAAGTAGCTGTGGTTCCCCGGGGGGGTTGCAAGAATGGACCCTCTGTGGGAGCCTCACGCGTGAAGGGAGCCAGGGAGGGAGGAGAGAGTGGCAGAAATGATACATGCACTTTGAAGAAACGACGGCCATCAGAATTCTGGGGGGTAGCGGGCGGAGGATGAGGATGAGAAGGGGCGAGGTCACCGTCCTCAGGCAACGACATCGGCGCGACAACGGCGGCCGCGCGCGCGGCGCCCTCGACCGCCATCGCCATCGCACGCCCGAAGACCCCCCCCACACACCCAGTCCTCAGACGGTTTGGTGTGCTCGATCCGCTCGACCCAGCTGCGCGATCTTCCTGTTAGAAGCACCAGGGTGTAGGGACACATTTGATCCAAACATGTTGAGCTCCCTGAGGCGCTCCAGGGTTCCACTGGGGCCCTGGCGAACAATCAGCAAAAAAGGAAGACGCCGTGCACGTCAGAGGTGCGTTGGCATGCTTGTGAAACGTACAAGTCTGCTGGCTCTGCTGTGGAGCAGCAGCGAATTGACTGAAGCGAGTACACTTATTCGAGGGCCCCTTCGAATCTCGGAACAAGCCTGAAACAAACCGCGGGGCCACAGACCAGAGGCGAGGGGCACGGGGGGAAGGGAACGGGCCGATCAGCATTCACGCGTGCGCAAGAAAGTACCATCAAGAGAACACAACGCAGCTAAATGCTCTGGTTATGATTCTCTGCATTCCGCAATAGGAAGAGAAGGAGGAGGAGGAGGAGAAGGAGGAGGAGGAGGAGGAGGAGATGGAGGAGGAGAAGAAGGCGGACGAGGAGGAGGAGGAGGAGGAGAAAAAGGAGGAGGAGGAGGGAGACAAAGGCGAACCTTACATGAATAGGAGAGAAGTCTGGCAGCTGCCTGCCGCGTGCCTGGTGGGTCTCGCCACAGTCCCTGCAGCGCGTTCGCACCTCTGCCGGCTCTGGTGGCAAGTTCGTAGACTTTGCGTTTCCACATGTTTCTCGACCTTCCCCTCTTTCGGGGGCCGTCTCTCGGGCCGGGCAAAAGGGGGAATAGCAAAGGGGGGGGTGAGAATCAGCTCTGTCCCTCAATAGTTTTGGGTCCCCGGACTACTGGTACCCCCCGGACTACAGGTACCCCGTCCCCGGACTACAAGTCCCCCCCCCCGGACTACAGGTACCACCCCCGGTCTATATACCCCCCCCCCGGACTACAGGTACACCCCCCGGACTACAGGTACCCCCCCCCCGGACTACAGGTACCCCCGTCAGGCGCTATAAATCCCCCCCGAAGCTACAGCACCCCCTGGATTCGAATGCTTTGCTGACGAATAACATGCGCGCCCCCCCTGGACTACAGGTATACCCCCGCGAGGCCCCACCCCCGGACTACAGGTCCCCCCCATGGTACCCCTCCCCCGGACTACAGGCACCCCCCCATGCTACAGGTACCCCCCCCCTGGACTACAAGTACCCCTCCCCCGGACTACAGGTACCCACCCCGGGCTACAGGTACCCCCAAAACTATTGAGGTGCAGAGTAGCTGATATTCCCGGCGCCTCCTGGCGCCGGAGGCGGCTACGTATCGAGGAATGGCCCCATCGGTGAGGCCGAAATCAGCTGCATGCAGCAAATTTCGTAACTCCCCCTTTCCCAATCCCCCACTTTCGTCGGGCCCGAGTTTCCACATGTTTCTCAGCTTTTCCCTCTTTCGGGGGCCGTCTCCCCTTGACACATCGAAGAGATGTAGCCAGAACGCGCAGGGCCAGACGGGGCTGCCATCTGGAAGAGTGGCGATCTGACCCAGCAGGCACAGGCTTGCCTGTATGCATAGCGTAGAGCTGAGTCTGCGGCACTGGCAGGCCTGCAACGCGGACGCGCTGCAGGCGCGGCTGTAACATGAGCGGCCGCAGCCGGCCATCCTGCGCATGCTGCATGGCAGGCTTGCCTGTCATCCGATACGATCCCTGCGCTCCTCGGGGCCGCCTCCTCCTCGCCCTCGGGGGCCCGGAAGCGGACCCCAGAGACTGAGACTGCAAACAAAAACAACCTCCTGCGCGATCCTGCGGCGTCGTCACGGGCCTTGGCCTGCTCCTCCTCGAAGCCGCCCCCCCCCCCCAGGCCTGTCCCAGAGGGGGCGTGGAGGCCAGGGCTTCGGGGCGGACCCAGCGTCTTGGCCACGAGGGCGCGCGCGGAGGCCGAGGCGCGGCGCCAACAAAAAGCCAGGGCACTTTTTGTTTCATCGGCGGCGAGGCAGAAGTGCCGCTACAGTGGGCGAGCGATCGGGGCCACCGATACGCTGCTTGGCCGGCGTGCAGGAGGGAGGAAACAGACAGGCGGGGAACAAACATCCAGGGCGCACGAGAATGCGGAGGGGGGGACGGCCTGGATGGACCAGGCACGCGCCGACCTGGATTCCAGATCCGTGGGCCTGTCACGTGGGACGGGGGGGGCAAGCACCGGCGCGAAGCCATGGAACCGATGCCGCCCGATCCGGCGACGGTGCACGCCGATGTCGTACGGAGAGGGGGGCTCGCCGCTGTGACCCACCCTCCTCGCACGGGGAAGCACGACCCACCAGACAGCTGGGCACGCCTCGCCCTACTCCTGCCGCCGCAGTCGGCGGCAGCCGCGCCTCGCAACGACGACGGCGGCCGCACGCGCGCACGCGCGCGACGCCTTCGACCGCCATGGCCCGCGCTCCCCGAGGTGCCCGATCGGGGACCTACTGACCCGGATCAGCGCAAACGCCGGGGCCAGCCAGGCTCTGCAGGATCCTGCAAGACATCCTGCAGGATCCTGCAAAGAGATCCTGCACGCAAGCCTGGGCCAGTGCACCCCCCTTCCTCCTCCGCCACCTCCTCCTCCTCCTCTCCTCTCTCCTCTCCTCTCCTCCTCCTCCTCCTCCTCCTCCGCCTCCTCCTCCTCCCCCTTCCCCCTTCCTCCCCCTCCTCCCCCCCCTTCCTCCTCCTCCTCCTCCTCCTCCTCCTCCTTCTCCTCCTCCTCCTCCTGCAAGATCTGGCGCTCTGGCTGACCCCCGCTTGCACCGACCCCCGTGCCTATGGAGCCCCGACCCGGGCCCTCCCGCGTGGCCCGGCGCCGCGCGCGGGCACAGCGGCGGGGAAGGGCGTGACCCCTGGGGCCTGCCTTGGAGGCGGAAGGCGCGCGGGCGCCGCCGACCGCCCTCGGCCGCCGCCGTGCGCCGCCGTCGCTGCCGTCGCCGCCGTCGCTGTCGTCGACACCGTCGGCCACAGCCGCCGCCGCCGCCGTCGTCGTCGTCGTCGACGCCGTCTGTCGTCGTCGTCGTCGTCGTCGTCGTCGTCGTCGTCGTCGTCGTCGTCGTCGACATGGTCGTCGTGGTCGTCGTCGACGTCAATATCGACCGTCGTCGACCATCGTCGCCGCCATCCTCGGTCGTCGTCGTCGTCGTCGTCGTCGTCGTCGTCGGCAGACGTGGTCGTCGTCAGCCGTCGCCGCCATCCTCGGTCGTCGTCGTCGTCGTCGTCGTCGTCGTCGTCGTCGTCGTCGGCAGACGTGGTCGTCGTCAGCCGTCGAGGTCGTCATCGGTCACCGTCGTCGGTCGTCGTGATCGTGGTCGTCGTAGCTGTCGTCGTCGTTGTTGCTGCCGTCTTCGTTCGGAGACGGAGAAGCTCGTGGTGCCCTCAGGCGATCTCACCTTTCAACTTCCCCTCGGGGTGGAGCAGGGGAAGATTAGGAGAAGGGGAGGGGGAGGATGCGGATAAGGGCGAGACGCGAGAGCAGGGAGAGGATGAACGTTCCAAGTCCCTCCAAGCCTCTTGGCGTAGGTGGTTTAGAACACTTCCTCCTCCAATCCCCCCCCCTTCCCTTCACAAATGGGAGTACCCCTCCCCCCCACCGACCCACCTCTGTCCAACGATGCCTCCTGGGAACCTCTTGAGGGCTGCTTGGGGGCATCAAAGGGGTCTCGTGGGTGCCCGTTCCTTGGCGCCACGCACGCTTGGCGTTGTTGGCTTCTGCAGATCTCGAACGGGCTTGCCACCCTGCCCTCTTGAGAGCAAGACGAGCACCTCCCAGGCCCGTCTTGATCATACTGACGCACCCCTTCGAAAGGGCGACAGGACAATCAGTATTGATCTCCAGATGTGCTTGAAAGATACGGGCCTCTCGGCGGTCCAACTTGGGGCGTCTTGGGGCCATCTTGGGCCGACCTTGGGGCTGCCTTGACTTAGGTCGGGCATATCACCCTACAGGCGGATGTTGGACGAAACATTTTAAACAATACCCTTCATATGCTCAGAATATACGCACAAGTGTTTTCGGATATGTTTTGAAATGCTAGTGCTGACTATTTTTGAATATTCCTCCTGTAACGGAACAGGCCCGACTTGAAGCTTGCCAGGTCTTGCCTCCTCGTCTCGGCTGGTCTTACTTTGTTTGGTCCTGCCTGGTCGCCCATTGGCCTGTCTTGGGGGCGCGCCCTAGGCCCTCTCGGAGGGAGCAGCAAGCCGGCCCCACAGGGCCGACGGTCGACCGACGGGTCCCGCCCGCCCTGCCAGGAGAAGTCCCTCGACGCCCCCCCCCCCCCCTCCGCTAGGGGTGCCCCCCCGCCCCCCCCCCTTTGAGCCTCCTTCCTCCCCCCTCTCCTCCTCCCTCCCGCCCTTCCCTCCACCCCCCCCCCGCCGCCCTCCCCCACCCCTCCAGCCCGTCCAACCATCCCCTCCGGAGTTCCGAGAGAGCCCCGGGAGACTCTCAGAGACCTTGAGGCCTGCTCTGTTGGGTCCGTTTTTCTCCATGCGTTTGCTTACCGTCTTCTCCTCCCACGACAGCTCGCCTGGACATCGTTTCTGGATGGGTCGGTGTAAATACTTTTTAGTGAGCGGCCGCGGGCGAGCGCGCCAGCGGCGAGTCAGGTCCAAGCAGGCTACGCAGAGACTAATTAGGCAGAGGCGGCGCGCAAGGCAACAGCTACGCGCTGGCCAAGGCCTCACGCAGCGGCCCAGCGGCAGGTGGATGACTGGAAGGACAAAAACAGAGTGGAACTGCCAGCGTGCAAAAATGCAAGTTCGTCGGAGGTGCCAAAAGTCGGAACATAAACGACGGCCAGGGACAACTCCGAGAGAGAACGCATGATACCGAACCTCAAGCGACTGCGTGGGCACCAGGGTGGCCGTGGCCAACGAACCGCCAGACGAAGTAGGAATGAAAAATGCAAAGGCGAGGCCCCGGACGTCGGCGTGAGCGCGAGAACCATGGTGGTCCGAAGGACCGTCGGCCAAAGAATTGACGCCAGGAGGCGAGCGCATTGGCAGGCTGCAACTCCCGGGTGGCGGAAGCCGAGAGACCCCGAGGCAGCAGTACGCACGCGTGCGGGAAGCGGCATCATAGCCGCGACGCAGCCAAAATGGCGCGGGTCACCACATACCAGTGCGTGAGATGGTGTCAGGTTGACCCAACACGGGCCCGAATGAACAGCACGCACAGGGCTGACACACAAAGTGACGACAAGCGGAAAGGCACCTCGGGCGAGCAGAAGCCGAAGCCGAGGGAACCAACCGTACGTGCCGGCGAGGGTAGGTGTAAATACGCGAAGAGTCAAGAATTGCTAAGTAGGTGGATGGGGGAGGAGGGGAGAGGGACAGTCATGATCGCCCTCTCGCGCGTCATCTCCGAGGATTGGGCGGGCACAGTGTCTAGAGAAGCAGGGGTCAGCTGTGCTCACTAAGCATATAAGTCTCTTTTGTTGTAGTTCGCATGAGCCGTGCCTTGGGAAGGTCAGGAATCATGCCAGCCGCGCACTTGCGCCATGCACTTCCTGTAACTACGACTCTCCTGCCAGACGGGCGAGTGCAACTCGGGTGCCCAGCACTGGAATCCAGAGGACGGCACGCGTGTGGAAAGCCAACTACTCCTGAGGAGGAGAACTGGGAGTACATTCTACGACGGCAGCGCATCTCGAGAGGCCTCTGAACATACAGTCAAAACTGAGAGTAAGCATGCGCGATGAGGATGCAAGGGACTTGGAAGGCAATGCCGAGGCTCTTCGAGCTGGGCTGGCCATCGAAAGTGGTTAATTATGGGCCGAAGAGGCATGTATGCAAGGGGACCCTTGGGAAGGTTACCCATCCCTATCATGCCGATTTCGACTGTACCTTTTGCCACGTGACTTCGGAGATATGTAGGGGAGGATTCGGAAAACACTCGAGGAGAGACGTGTGGGGGAACGACAACACACCGACACCGATACTAAACGTACCTCTTCAAGGGTACTGCATGCCCAAGACTCCGAGGCTGATCCGGCCGTGTCGAAGAGGGCCACCCCTGAGGCCCAGAGATGCAAACAGAAGGAAAGGGTATCGGTGTCAGTATGTTTCCTCTGAGGGTAGCGTAGATCCAGAGGGAACGTGGCAAGGGTGGGTTGGGCTTGGCCCCAAGAGGGCGACGCGAGAGCAAGGCATTGTTTCTCGGCGCTCGGTCTGGAGTACACTCGAGGGCAACACGGTCTTTCACCGAGTGAGACGGCAGCCCGATTCCATGCGCTTCGCACTGGAGCTCCGCGAGACCCCAGACACCAGCTTTCCTCCTCGCTTCTGGCTGCATATATTTCAATATATAATGCTATGCAGGTGCTCGTAGACCTCTCAGAGGGTGCGTTCTGACGCGGATCCCAACGCGAATCCAGCCATGGCGACCCAGGATGCCGCAAGAGGCGAAAACAAGGCACGGGCATCGGTACCTGTATGGCTTCCCTCCTCAGCTGCACCAGCGGCGCAACTGGAGGACAAGCCAGCTCCTGGACACGCTGACGGCCCCTGTTCTCCACTGAAGTGGGAGGAACAACAAAAAACAGCATAAACATAAACTTTTTGAGGTCCGCGCGGAATTCTTGGATCTGCGCTGGACCCCCCTCCCCGGCGCGCGGAACGCGCCAAAGGCGGCGCGCGAGGCGACGCCAAGGGGGCCCAGCGCAGATCCAAGACATCCGCGCGGAGCTACAAAAGTTCTATGTTGATGCCATTGTTCTTCTTCGATCGGTTATCCACTGAAGTCGGCGGGGGGGCTGCTACCCGACGCGCCTGCCCGGCCTACATGCAGTGTAGGCCAGTCCACAAGAAACCTCCCCCAGGAAACCCAAGCCTGAGACCCCGGGACGTCCATCGATGCTTGGTGCGGGCACGTCGCGCCTTCCACCGCAGAGCCATCGAAATCCAAGAAGAACCCAGGGCACCCTGGAAGCAAGCATGGTGCTCCTCGGCATGGGCTTCCACTGTGTGCAATGTGTTCTTCTTCGACCTCTCCACCACGGAAGTCGGCGGGGGGGGGGCGGCTACACGATCCGCCTGCTCGGCCTACCTGCCGTGGCCGCAGGGCCCCGAGTCAATTTCCCGATGGTCCCCAGGAGTCCCGCCTGCCCGCCTGGCAAGCTGTGGCCGCCAGACCCTCTGAGCCTCCCCTGAGGGGTCCCCCTGGGAGTCTCCGACGAAGAGCGATCGACGACAGCGCAGGCGTAAATGACATCATACCGTCGGGGTTAGTAGAGGGCAACAACAACAACTCCCTCATAATAGCCACCCCGACAAGCGAAGCCGTCTAGTAAACGCAGCCAAAGGAGGGATCGAACAGAGTAGGGATGTTTGTTAAACGCCCATGGTCGTTTAGCAAACGCCAGTTATCGAGTCAGGGTGTTTTTCTTCGTTTGAATGATCGAGGGAGGACACGCGAGAGGATACATGACTCTTCCACGGGCCACATTGCCGCAGGAATGCAGAAGGCATGGGCCGCGAAGCACAGGACACGAGGGCACCCTTGGCTTGGAAAGGGTCGACCTACCTACCAACCAACCTCGACTATATAAAGCCGATTGCTGTCACAAAGACATCACTGGCTTCGCCTCGTCGAGGCGTCACACGGGCCATGCCCAAGACTGCTCAACAACACACGACGTCGGCAGACATCAACGGCGTACGACCGACAAAGACTAGCCCAGATATGGATACGGAACAAATGGGTGCGATGCCCAACAACAAAGGTTGCCCAAAACCGACAGCGGCCGCTGTAGAAAGCCTCCTGTCCCAAATGGAAAGCGCCCGCGCTCGGCGCGGACAGCGGGTCCTGCTCGGCAGAACGAGCAAGAGCTGCTGCTGGACAAGCGCGCCACACCACTCGCAGAAGGCAACCACTCGCACGTGGCCTGGATCCACCGCGTGTGGCTCTACGTATACAGTACGCAGGGGAGGAACTGCCACTTTTTCTCGGACGCCTGCGAGTACTCCAGATTTCGTAACAAAGGGAGGGGGGTCTCATTTCGGGGGGGGGTCTCTTCCAGGCTATATTGGAGGGCCTGGGGGAGTCTGGGGACGGTGTTTTGGATGGTTCTCCCACGGGGGAGGTCTGAAATGGCTTGTCTTGGAGGGTCCAGACCCCCTCCCTTTTATTACGAAATCTGGAGTAGGCACTCTGCGCTCGGCGACGTGGGCATCGCACCCCTTCTTTCCGCACCGACCGCGTGCGCTCCGGCAGCGGGCCGACCCTGCCGGCCTCTCGGGCGGCGCCCGCCCGGTCGCCGCCTCGGCGCCGCCCCGGCGCCGCCCCCCGCGCGGGGGCGGGCCCGAGTTTTCTGCTGGACATATCTCTGGCCCCGGGGGCGCCCCGCCGCTGCCCATCGACGATGGCACCCCCACAGGCTGCGCCGCGCCACGCCCCCCGCGCCCCACGGGCTCTCCGCTTCTAGAGCTTCTCTCCTGGAGTCGGTCCCCGTGCCCGAAGGGGCAGAAATAACAAGCCCCCTCCTCCGCGAACTGGCCTTTAGGCGCGTGTGTGTACATGATCCAGGGTTGCCCCCCCCCCCCCCCCCCCCCCCCCCAATGCATATGGGATCGGGCCCCTTGCCTCCCCCCTGGATGGGTACGCCCGTGAGCTTCGCGAAGGCCTCGCGAATGGGATCGCTCCATCCTCCCCCGTGTGGTCGTGGCCCTGTGGGCGTAGACTAGCGAAGGGTGGACGATCGGCTGCTTTCGCCGGGAGCTTTCCGAGACCAAGGTCGAAGGGCCTCGCGAATGGGATCGCTCCATCCCCCACGTGTGGTCGTGGCCCTGTGGGCGTGGCGTGGTGGAGGGTTGACGTCGTCGTCGTCGTCGCCGTTGTCGTGGTCGACGCCAGCGTCGTCGTCGTCCTTTCCCACCCCCCCTTTATCCCAATTGGGGGGGGCTGTGGAACTCTGAGACGAGACCGATCCCATCTGGGGGGGAGGCATGTGAACCCTTCACTCGGGATCATATATCCGCCACCGTGCCTTCAGCACGAAGTGGAGTGCCCCAAGGCTCATGCAGTTCTGAGGGGTGGATGGGAAGGTTGTAAGGCTGTCAGCCTGGATCACGAAATTCCTTGAATTCCTGGGAATTCCTGGGCGCTGCTAGGCCCATGCCAGGTGACTCGCATGGGCCTCCAGGACGTTCCCCTCGCCCAGCAGGGCCCCAAAAGAAGCCAAAAAAGCCCCAGGAGGCCGACCAGACAGTCCAAGCGGGCCCAGACTCGCCGAAAGATCGCTCCAAGACGCCCAAGATGACCGCCAGACGGGCCACGACGCCTCCAAGACGCCCCAAGAGTCCAAGAGCAACCCCAAGAGGGCCACAAGAGGAACATGCATGTAATTCCCTCTGGTGTTGTGTTACATGTTAGCGTTTCTGCCTTTCCGACTGCCCGACGCTCTCAGACGGCCAAGGAGGCCCCAGATATTGCCCCAAGACGGCATAAGAGGCTGGACGCCGAGAATGAACAATAGGACCCCAAGACGGCCCCAGAGGCCTCCAAGACGGCCCTGGAGGGCTCCGAGAACGCCCGAAGAGGGGCTCCAGAGAGTAAAGTCGAACCGACATTTCGGGACCCCCCCTCAAGGGGGACACAGGGAGGCCCCAACTGGCACCCAAGAATGCCCCAAGAGACCCAGAGAAACCCTCAAGAGGCCCCCAGCTTAGGGCCGGTTTGGGCATTCTGTAGTGCCAGCTTTGGGCCAATCTTGGGCTGCCTTGGGCCTCTCTCGGGACCCTCTTGGGGTCCTCTTGGGCAGATTTGGGCGCCTCTTGGACTTCTCTGGGGCCGTCTGGAGCCATATTGGGGCCCTGTTGGGGCGATCTTGGAAGCCTCTGGGACCGTCTTGAACGCTTCGACGAGCAACAACAACGAATATGCTGAAAGGTCAGTCCTCCGGAAGGGAAGTGGCGACTTTTGCTTGATGGAGCCCTCTTAGGGCTCCCTGTGGAGCTCTCGAGGTGTTTGGAAGCTTCTCGGGCACCGAGGATGATGTGTAAAAATGTCTGTGGCCGTTTGGTGGACCTCCCGGGGAGCTGAAAACGATTTTCGGGGCCTCTGGGGCCGCTGTGGGACCGCTTGAATAATTGTTGGAGCCGTCTTTAGGCGTTTGGGGGCCCTGTTGGGGCCGCTGTGGGGCCGCTTTGCCGCCTAGGGAACCAGGGGGGCCCAAAACCAGCAAAGCGCCATGCGGATTTAGTTGGATGGATCCCTTCTTCGGGCGAAAGTCAGACTCCTGCTCCAAGACCATGCCGAACGTACCCGCCATCCTCAAACGTACTGCGTCTTCGAACGTATCCTGCACGGCCGTTCATTTCAACGACCAATGACTGCAGTTCCATGCAGTCACATTACCAGCCCCCATTCATACCGCTTGTCAAGCGAGTTCACACACATTATGACAGAAGCACACGTTGATATAACGAATGCGTTCGGCAAAATCCCTATCAGAAAAATAAAAATACGGGCAACACTCGAGCGCCCCCGCGAGGGCATGTCGACATCTTACAATTAAAAATAACACCAGCCCTCAGGGCGTGAGTCGTCTAGCGAGCTCGTTCTGCTAACCCCCTTCTTTCCTTCCGGGGAGGGGGGTCCCCCTCCCCCTACCCATTCCCCTGGGTCTGGAAGGGGCATTCTGCGAGGGGTTGGAGCGTCCAAGATGGCCCTAAATGGCTCCAAGAGGGCTCCAGAGAGCCAGGATGGCATCCAGGAACGGTCAAGACAGCCCAAGATGGTTCAAGATAGCTTCCAACATCCCTCGAAACGCCCTCAAGACCCTGCCAGGACGGCGGAAGTGCGGCCAAACTCCTTCAAAAACCACTGGATCATCTCTCCCCCCCTCCCACCCCCCCCCCCCCTGCTCCACCCCCCCTCCACCCCCGCACCCCACCTCCATCCCCTCCCCCCCGCCCCCCTCCCCCCGCCGCCTCGCCCTTTCCCTCCCCCCCTCCAAGCCCTTCACCCATTCCACCCTCCACCTCTCGCTCCTCCTGCCTTCCCCTTCTTCCTCCCCTGCCTCCTTCCTCCTCCCACCACTCTTAACGGCGAAGAACGGTATAAATAAACTTTTTCGCCGTCGGGGAACCTGCCCCAGGGCGGCTGGAAAGTTTATACCCTTACGGTGGCACCGTAGGGGTATAAACTTTCCAGCCGCCCAGGGACAGGCGCCCCCGACAGCGAAAAAGTGTACTTTATACCGTTCTTCGCTCGCTGATTCTGCCTCCTCCCACCTCTCACCCGTCCTGCCTTCTCCCCCTTCCTCCCTCGCCTCCCTCTGCCTCCTCCTCGCCTTCCGCCTTTTCACCCCCCCGCCGACTCCGGCCTCCTGCCTGCTGCCTCCCTGCCCAATTCTGTTCCTCGCGCCTGGCCACCTCCTCCCTCCTCCTCCTCCCTCCTCCTCCTCCCTCCTCCTCCTCCTCCTCCTCCTCCTCCTCCTCCTCCGCCTGTAACGGCATCCCCGCTCGGCGGCCTCCGCACACTCTAGAGCACGCTTCCTTCCCCACCTGTCCGCGTTCGGCCCTCTCGCTTCCCTTGTGCGAAGGATCCTCTTCGTCCTCATCCCCCTTCTCTCCTGCTCCGCTGCCTGCTCACACTCCCTCCAGGAGTCCGCGAAGGCGGACTCAAAACATAAGTGAGTTGTCGTGCAAATTTGACGGAGCCTCCAAGCAGATCGCGACGTCACAGTCTAAACCAAACATGGTTTCGTTAACATGTCAAACAACAACACGACAAAACACGATGGGTTCCAAATGCCCCGCGCAACATGTATACAACGCATGTGGGTTTTCAATCATGTGATTCGCCACCTGCGCCGAACTCATGGCAAGGTGTGGCTAACCCATCTACGCTCGACTCCTCCACATTTTGGGATCCATCCTACATTTCGCTTAGTTGGGATTCTTCCTGTGACTCACCCAGCGTATCTCCACCGTCGACGGCGCTGGTACTCATAAGCGCCACGGGGGTTCGTAGGGCGCCTTGGGATACACGAGGCGATTTTCACCATACACACCTGCAACATCATCCCCACAGATGTACACAACCTCTAACGATTGCAGGTGTAGTTCTCACTCTTCGACTGCGCACCCGCTGCTGCACCACATTTTGTACACCTGACGGCGTCATTCAAATATGTCCCTAAATGTTGCCCATAAGAACGGCCATCCACCCACTGCTCTTGCTTACATTCCGCAGCTCTTCATGTTTGAGCCTGGGCACCCACGTGCCACTTTTGTGCATGTAAAACACATGAGGCTAACACATACAAGGGCGAGACGCACATGGCAAGCACAACGGCCAGGCATACCCGACGAATGCAGAGAACTGGACACATGCAAGATAATCAAAACACAGACAGAGGTAATCGACATCGCATGCTCGAAAGAGACACACGGACATGTACATATAAGTAGTCGCGCGAAATATGCAACCACTCGGGAATAACCAGCACAACGAAATATGGGAATAGCATGTCCCACCAGCAGGCAGGCGCAAATGAGAGGCACAAGGGACATATTGCGAAAACATACGCTGGACTTTCTTGGTGGGGATGGCCCGATTCATAACCAACCTGGCTGCTTGTGATGAGGAGGAACCCTGGGCAACCTCAGGAAACATCCTGGCACCTCCGAATGCCTCCGAGGAGCTCCGACAACTCCAGCCCTACGGAAGAAATGGCATGACATGAAAGCTCTGGAGCGCCTGAAGCTCCCCAATACGAAATCAACACGCAGACACCTGAGCGGCAGACTGGCCGCATCTACTCGCTGGACTCTGCAGGCGTGGAGCGCTCGGGCCACAGCACGCCCAGGCTGGAGGAATCCAGCTGCCGGGCAGCGATAGCGGCCTCCTAGATGGGGTCGGAGCAGGTGGGGTCGGAGCATCACGCCGCATCGCCGATACGTCGGCGATGCATCGGCGATGCATCGGCGACGTCGGCGATGCATCGGCGACGTCGACGTGAGGCAAATCGGGCTCCGCATCGAGCCGCATCGGCGATGCATCGGCGACGCGGCGCGATCCTCCAACCCTACTTACTCGGACCCCACCTGGGGCACCGCCCGGACTCCACGGCTCTTCTCAAACGTCCGATGGAAGCAGCAAGCGCAGGTCGGCAAACGCAACAAAAACACCGGGCAGGACCGGGCGCGCTCGCTCGCGCGCGCCCGCGCGCGGAGGTGGTCACGAGCCGGCGCGCCCGCACCGCTCCCGGTGCGCCCCCCTTTGCCGCAGGAGGACGCCGCCAGTGCACAGGCACCGATCCTGGCCAGGCCCCTCCTGGGTGAGGAGGAGGAGGAGACGAGCGTAAGAAGGAGGAGGAGGAGGAGGAGGACGGGTGGGGTAGGAGGAGGAGGTGGAGGAGGAGGTGGGGGAGGAGGAGGAGGAGGAGGATAGGGGAGGAGGAGGAGGAGGAGGAGGAGGAGGAGGAGGTGGAGGAGGAGGAGGAGGAGAGGAGGACTACGAGAGGAGGAGGAGTAGGACACGAGGAGGAGGAGGACTACGAGGAGGAGGAGAGGAGGAGGAGGAGGCGGAGGAGGAGGGAGGGGAGGTTAGGAGGAGGAGGGGAGGAGGAGGGAGAGGAGGAGGAGGAGGAGGAGGATGAGGAGGAGAGGAGGAGGAGGATACGAGGAGGAGAGGACTATCTACGAGGAGGGAGTGAGAGGACTACGAGGAGGAGGAGGAGGAGGAGAGCGGGAGGAGGAGGAGGGGGAGGTGGAGGAGCCGGCAGGGTACCCGCTCGGAGGAGGAGGAGGAGGAAGGAGAAGGAGGAGGAGGGAGGAGGAGGAGGAGGAGGAGGAGGAGGCGGAGGTGACTACGAGGAGGAGGAGGAGGAGGAGGAGGAGGAGGAGGAGGAGGAGGAGGGGAACTACGAGGAGGAGCGAGGAGGAGGACTACGGTGGAGGAGGAGGAGGGAGGAAGGAGGAGGCGGATGGAGGAGGAGAGGAGGAGGAGGAGGAGACGACGTACCCGAAGGAGGAGGAGGAGGAGGAGGAGGAGGAGGAGGAGGAGGAGGAGGAGGATGGGGGAGGGAGGAGGAGGAGGAGGAGGAGGAGGAGGCGCTAAGAAGAGGAGGAGGAGGTGGACGGGCGCGCGCACGCGCGCCCCCCGACCCGACCTGGCCAGGAGGGGCACGCACCCGTCCTCTCGCAGCGCAGGAGCTCACGGCGGACGGCTCGCCCAGCTTCGGCCTCCCGAGGCCGCACCACCAGGCCCAGGGGCCGCAGGGAGAAACGGGAAGCGGGCCCACGGGGAAGCGGGCCCACGGGGAAGGGGCCCAGACACGAATCTCACCACGGCTGCCCGTGAGGCACACGCGCTGGCCCTGCGCCCGGGAGCGGCCTGGCCAGCGGCGCACGGTTCCGGTGCACGGGCGGAAGTCCCCCCAGCCTCCAGTCCAGGCGCTGGCAGGCGGGCCCGCAGTAACGCGCGAGGCCGCAGCCCCTCCCCCCAGCCTCCAGTCCAGGCGCTGGCAGGCGGGCCCGCAGTAACGCGCGAGGCCGCAGCCCCTGCACAGGTAGGCGGCCTCCTCCGCTGCGCACCTCGGGAGGGCTCGGAGGGCACCACGCCGTGTGGCCGGCCAAGGAGCCGAAGAGTCCGCGGCATATTGGCGGAGCCCACTCGGGGGGGGGTGGCGCGGGGGGGGGGACGGCTCACTGTGAAGGCGGAGGGGCTTCGTAAGAAGGCAGGGGCCTCCTTAGAATGCCCCAGAGGCTTCTGAGAAGGCGTCTTGGAGGAAGGGCGGGCTTCTGAGAAGCTCCCCCCTGCCTTCTTGGAAGGCCCGCCGCCTTCTGAGAAGCCCACCCCCCTCGCGCCGTTCTCGGCTACACGTAAGAGTGACCCTGGGCAAGAGTGACCTTTGGTGCGCAGCTCAACGGGGGACGCGAGGGGGGCAAACATGGACGCGCAAGCCGCTGCTATCGCATCGCATTCGGCGATTGGGGCACCCCCTTGGACCCGCACCAAAGGTCACTCTGGCGAAAGGTCACTCTTACGTCTAGTCGCCCCCCCTGTGGGGGGTGCGTGCACGCGCTTGCATGCCGCAGGTCTCCCGCGCAGTTTTGCGCCGAGCTCTCCGGCCGGCCAGACGGCCCGATGTGTGCTCCGAGCCCTGCCCCGCACCAGGCGCAGGCGTCGTCTCCGGGGTCTGCCCTCCCGCCGGCGCCTCTGCCTGCACGCGGGAGACACCCATAGACACCGCCAAGCACTGACCGACCACAACGAAACTTCAAACGAAATGCCGCCGAACACGAATAACGGAACGGAGCCCAACGTTCAAAACGAACGCTTGGAACGACACTGTTGCCACACGGACCGAACAACGGCGCGAGGCGTTTTTAAGCAGCAGCGAACAACGAAACGAAACAACCACGACAAACGAAACGAAACACGAAACAAAGGCCCAAACCACACTACACAACATTGTGGTCGGTCCTCGTGCACCACCACCGTGCCCGGCCAGGACCATCCCGGGCTCTGGAAAGGTGTATGTACGGACGGCCTCCTGGCCGAAGCCCGGCGGATCCCTCGGCGGTGCTCCACTGGGGGGAGCTTGCGGGGGGGCAGGCCTCCTGGGAATGCGGCGGGGCCTCCCAGAAGACCTCCCCGGAACCTTCTGGGAGGCCCTCTTGCCTTCGGAGAAGGCTTCGAAGCCTTCGCGGAAGGCCGGGGGGCCTTCCGAGCCCTCTGGGAGGGCCCGCCCGCCTCTGCCGTCCCCCCCGGGGAGCGCCGCCGACGCCGAAGTCCATTCGCCACACCCCTGGCCTGGGAAGGCCCCTGCCCTCCTCCTCCTGATCCTCCTCGGCCTCCCCCTGATCCTCCTCAGCATCCTCCTCAGCCTCCTCCTCCTCCTCCTCCTCCTCCTCCTCTCCCCTCCTCCTCCTCCTCCTCGTAGTCCTCCTTCTCCTCCTCCTCCTCCTCCTCCTCCTCCTCCTCCTCCTCCTCCTCCTCCTCTCGTATCCTCCTCCTCCCGTAGTCCTCCTCCTCCTCCTCCTCCTCCTCCTCTCCTCCTCCTCCCTCCTCCCCTCCTCCTCCTCCTCGTAGTCCTCCTCGTAGTCCTCCTCGTACTCCTCCTTCTCCTCCTCCCCTCCTCCTCCTCCTCCTCCTCCTCGTAGTCCCTCCTCCTCCTCCTCCTCCTCCTCCTACCTCCTCCTCCTCCTCCTCCTCCTCCTCCTCCCATTCTTCTTCCTCCTCCTCCTCCTCCTCCTCCTCCTCCTCCTCCTCCTCCTCCTCCTGACCACGGAGCCTGGCGCCCTCGCCCCGCCGGCGCGGGAGCGGCGGCGGAGCCGGGCGCCCGCCGGCGCCGCCCGCGCGAGCTCCTCCCGCAGGCCCTCGGCGGGCGCGGCGGCGGCGGCGGTGACGACGGCGGCGGCGGCGGCGGCGGCGGCGACGGCGGCCACGGCGAGGGCGACGGCGACGACGAGGGCGACGACGGCGGCGGCGGCGAGGGGGTCCTCGGCGAGCGCGGCGGCCTCCGCCGCCTCCGCGAGCGCGGCGCGCGACAGCGCGGCCGCGGCGAGGCTCGAGGCGCGGCGCGCCTCGAGCAGGCGGTCCTCCTGGGACCGCAGCGCCTCCGCGAGCTCCGCGACGCTGCTGGGCGCCGCGTCCTCGCCGGCGCCGGCGGCAGCGGCGGGGCGGTGGATGGCCAAGTGGTGGGCTCCGGAAGCCCTGAGCCCCGAAGAGGTGCCATCTCGGCCACACGCAGGAGTGGCCCTGGGTAAGAGTGCCCTCTGGTGCGCGGCCTTGGGTGGGCGCGAGGGGGCCAAACCCAAGCACGCGTGCCGCATGCTGCGATCGGGGGGGGGGGCGATAGGCCCGCACCAAAGGTCACTCCGGCGAAAGGTTACTCTCACGTGTAGCCGACCATCTCTTGCAGGACAAATTGTTGCCCCCGCCGGCTTCCGGCGCAGGCGCCCTCGGTTCACCTCCGCGGCCGTCCGCCGAGCAAGAGATTGCGATTCCTTCGGCCCTCGAAGGCGAGGCCACTTCGGGAGCGCCCCAAAAACGGCCACTGGCAGGTTGACGACGACGGCGGCGACCACGACGGCAGCGGACCGCCGGTCCCCGCGCCCTCTCGCCGGAGCATGCGGGAGGGGCTGCGCGTGGAGGACCTGCGACAGCTGAGGGGGGTCCGCGAGGGGTGCTGCCCACGGGCCCACTCGGGTGCCACAGATCTGCGGGACTCTCGAGGTAAGCAGATCGTCTTCGGAAATCTGAAGTGGCCCAGGGACACACACAAATAAATACACACACACACACAAATAACAGGATTTCCTATATTGCCATATGTTTTGCGGTTTTTGACTTCCCCCCCACTTCCCATATTTTCGAATATTTTCTGGGGGATCGACGATTAGTTGTGTCTGTGTTTTTTTCCGCCTGGAAATCGACGTTTCTTGTGTCAGAGCTCCACGACCACCGCTATATAGCAAGCAGTTCGCCCAGGCCTCCCAGGGGGGTCGACCAGGGATGCGCTCGCAGACATCTTTGGCTCTGGCTGTGTTGCCTGCACGATCCTACGACAAATCCCAACGGCGTGCCCCACATCGTAGCAATCTCTGGCCGGTATGGTCGGGGTCGTTCCCCATTTGGCACAGCCGTTCCGGCGTGATCATCCGGGTCGCAAGGTCCCGTCCCAGACCCCCTCACAACAGACTCCTCGAGCCGCGTCCGGCCGTGGCTGCGGCAACGCCCAGCGCCTCCTGGGCGGGACGTCTCAGCATTATGGAACCGAACTCTATACACCGACGCTTTTCTGGCCCTGCACTGAAACTCGCACAGGAAAGCGGATCCTGGTGTATACGGGATGCTGGTGTATACATGTTCGTCATTTCCCCAGGAAGACGGGGAAACAACTATACACCACACCACACCGACGTCGTCCCTGACCCTCAAAAAAGCCAGGGATGAAAAGCAGCACGCCACTGGTAATGCATATGTTCCAGATTCCGAGGAAGGGGTGATCAATTAATGAAGGCTTTTCGCAGTTGCTGGCCTCGAAAGGAACGGCTCAGTCAGGATGCGCGGCTGGCCACTTCGCGCCACGACCCACTTCGGCCAAGACCTCGCGACAGAAGACCCGCTGCGGCCACCCCACTGCGGCCTACTGCGCGCCTCGCGCCCCGCGAGGCGCGGCCATCTCCGCGCCCCCGCGCCGCATCCCTGGAGAGCGGGCAGCTCTCCAGCCCTGGGGTCGAGGCGCCCGGAGCATGCGACCCTCGCCGCGCCGCGCCCGCGGGGTGACCCGGAAAGCCTGGCAGACGTTTTCATCGGCTGCGCGCAACCAGCGGCCCTGGGCAAGAGTGGCCTTTTTACCCTTGGCTGCGCGGATGAAGGGGGGGCGCAAAAGGTGGCCAACTCCAGGCGCGCAAGCAGCCGCCGTCGCCTTGCGCTCAGCGGTCGGGGGGGGCCCGAGGAGCCCCGCGCCAGAGGTCACTCCGGCGAAAGGTCGCTCTCTTACGTCTAGTCTTGGCGGCACGGGCGCGGAGACCAGCAGGGGCTCGGCTTCGTCGGAGGCGCAGCGGGCGGCGCCCCCACGGCCGCGGCGCGAGGCGGCCCCTCACTGCTGCAGGCTGCCGAGCGCCCCGCCTGCGCCCACGGGTCGGAGGAGGGGGGGGAGGAGGAGGCGGCAGCGTGGATGGACGCCACAGCCTTGACGCTCGAGTCTGCCCCCCACATCAACGTCAAAAGGAAGGAAGGAAGGAAGCAAGGAGGGAGGGAGACGCGGGGCGCTGCTGACTCAAAACGATAGAGGCCTCCTGGGTGGAGTCCGAGTAGATGGGGTCGAAGGATCGCGCCGCATCGCCAATGCATCGGCGATGCATCGGCGATGCATCGTCGATGCATCGGCGACGTCGGCGTTGAGAAGCACGGTCTCCACGCATCGTCGACGCATCGGCGATGCGGCGCGATCCTCCGACCCCGTCCACTCGGACCCCCTCTGCGAGGCCTGGAAGCGAGGACCAAACACCACGGGTTGGCAGCGGAAGGGAAGCAGCGCGGCGCAGCGCAGAGCGCCCGCGCCCGCCCGGGACGCCTCCGCGAGGCCCCCGTCCGCGAGAGCCGCCAGAAGGCCTCGCGCGGCATGGGGCAGAGGGGGAGAAGGAAGGGGAAGGAGGAGGGCACGACGCAGCCCGGGCTGGGATACCGTCGGCCAGAGAGGCGTCGGGGATCCGTGATACCCGGCGGCGACGATATAGGGGCGAATAGCCCAGCGGCGGGAATTACACGCATTCGCCTGGGAGCCTTTTCGAAGACACAGATCATCGGCGCACCTGACTACAGGTGTTGCTCTCCCCTGGGCTACTCGCCCCTATAATCGTCGCCTCTGAGATGCATCCGGCGGCGCTGGAGGGTGCCTCCGGCGATGAGCCCCGCCCCGCCCGACCAAGGGGGGAAGAAGGGGGACACGCGTGGCCCCGCGCGCCGTGGACAGACGCACGACGGACAGCGTCTGGCCCCGGATTCCCGGCTGGGCCCCGCCTCGGGGGGCCCTGCTTCCTACAGCAAGCGATGGGCCTGCTTTTCCACCACCACCACCATGAGTTGGAGGGGGAGGGGGTCCTCCTTCTCCTCCCCTTCCATCCTCTTCCTCCTCCTCCTTCCTCCTCCCCATCCATCCTCTTCCTCCTCCTCCTCCTCCTCCTCTTCGTCCTCCTCCTCCTTGTCCTCCTCCTCCTTGTCCTCCTCCTCCTTCCCCCACTCCAAATACATATATACATATATGTATATATTGGTGGTGGTGGTGGGGGTGGGAAACAGGCCCACCATCAAGAGGCACAGCGCCAGTGGTCGGGATCCGAGAAGGAGGGATGCAGTCCACCCCCGTGGAAGGAAGGGCGCACGGCAAGGGGTGCAAGCGCCGCGGAGGGCCACGTGGGCACCTCGCGGGCCGCGTGCGGCCGGCGGAGGCGGCCGGGCCAAGGACTTGGGCCGCGGGGGCCCGATGCAGGGGTAAGCGTGGAAAGTCGCTCGTCCGTACTACGATGCGGCTTGACTCTAGAAGGGGCCATGGGGAGAGGAAGGGTGGGGGGGGGTACAGTCGGGGCGTTGACCTAAGGAACCCTAAATAAGGAACGAGGCCCCTTTTCCCATAAGTTCAACCTCGATTTCCCATGGAAAACCTCAGGAAAACCCGAGGCGAACTTTGAAACGCTTAAGGAACACCGAGCCCCTCCCCAACGAAACGGGTTCCTTCTGCAGCGCCCCGACTGTACTACTATGCGGCTTGACTCTAGAAGGGGCCATGGGGAGAGGAAGGGCGGGGGGGGGTATGGCGAACGAGACGGGCACGATGGAGCATGTAGATTGGCCTGTCTCCAGTGAGGCCGGTCAGAAAATCAATGGAGTGCAGCAGAAGCAGCCGCAAGGCATGAAATGAGGACGGACATGCGGGCAGCAGTAGCACGCACCTGGGCGTGAAACACACCTGCTCTAGGGTTGTCCCAGTCGGACGACAGTGAAAATGAACATGCTGACGACGACGATAAGGGTGGTGGTGACGGCGATAATGGCACTGCCTGGTCAAGCGCTCAACAGCGGCACGATGATGACTACACTGCTGCTGACTTCGATGACTGTATACAGAGTCTGATATTTTGGTCTGACTCGATTATGTAGCCGTGCGTCTGGTGGTCTGCCAGAGAACAACAAAGCTTGGAAACACGTCTCCGACTGGCACTGTCGAGATGTGCCACCATGTGTTCGTCATACGCCATGTCCGAAATAATCGCGCGGGTGGCAAGGCGCGCTGCGCCAATATAAGAAAACCGTGTCTAGAAACACAAGATGTCTGCCAATTCACGCCGACTTACTCTTACCAATGGCTGATTGTTGTTTTTCTGGAAGCTGCTCCCAAACCTGGAGTACTCCGCGTAGGTCAGCTGACTTGGATTCCATGCCACCGGCATGAGAAGGGCAACACTGGAGCACTCCATGCGGAGCACCTGCTTGCAGGCCAGTGCCTTTTGGTGGGGTGCCCACTGTAGTCCCGGATCTATCACTGCCCCGACCTGCTCACTTTTCAACGGGATCCGCTGGCACGCCACCTCTAAGGTCTGTTCTGCATCCGCACGCACCTGCAGTGAGAGCCGCGCCGCGCAATGCTCTCCACTGGACTATCTGTAAAATCTTAAACTAGGCTGGCTAGCCGCGGTCCCCGCAGAGCCTTTCTCGGTCGCCCTCCCCTCCTGCCCTTCCCTTCTGCTCGCTTCCGCTGTCCGGTGCCCTCTCAACCCCTCGCCTCGAGCTCTGTCGGCCACCCCTTGTAAGCTCAACCCAGACCACACACGGCACCCTTGCCAGGCCACCTCTTGTAAGCCTAACCCAGGCCACCTCTTGTAAGCTTAACCCAGGCCGTACTCCCCGTGCTCCTCCCGCAGCTGCCCTCATTCTTCCACGTCGCAGCATGTCCTGGCCTCATTCTGCGCTGCGCTGAGCACGTGGATTTTGGCGCCGTCGCGCCGCCCCTATGGGCGTGAACAACTCCCAAGCCCAGACCGCTGCCGCGATTATATTCGCGCCCCTGCGGGTGATCTACACGCTTGTCCCCTCTGCATCTCTCCCAGGCAGCACAGCGGCACGCTCCCCCCGGACTTTCCAGTAAACGCTCCTTTTTTGGCCAACATCCTGCACCACAGACCCGAGATCCCCTGCGTGGTGACCACGCCGTCCTTGTCTACTGGCCTACTTCTCTGCTCCAGTCTAGCTGCTCTCAGCCACAAGGAGGGCTACAAGGAAGGAGGCCCCCCCCCGAGACCCGACATCTTGAGTCGACGTCGCGATAACGACGTCGGGGAAAGCACGGCCCGAGCCTTCGCCCCCATCGCTGTGCGCCTTGCTCGAGACTCATCTTTCCGCAATGCCCCCTTGGCCCGGCGAAGCCGGATCCCAAACAGCCGTCGCGTTTCTGCCCAGACGCCCAGATCTCAAGGGCTTGTCCGACCCTCAAGACTGCTGTCTGGACCTCAGCCCTGGGGCCCTGGACCCTTCCTGGAGCGTCTCTGGTCAAGAATGCCGAAGCGGATCCAGCCGCGGCGACGCGGACGCCCAGCAAGGCCCAGAAGGGTCAGAGAGTCTCCAGATCTTCATCGGCGGCGCCGGGAGGGCGAAGAGGTCGGCCGGCAAAGACATCGGCAACCCGCTGCCCCTCAGAACCCCTGTGGCTCAGGGCGGCACCAGGGGAACAGAAAGTGACGTGACCATAACAACTCGGAGGTCCGCGCGGATTGCTCGGATCGGCGCTGGGCCCCCCCTCCCTTGCGCGCGGAGCGCGCCAGGGGCGGCGCCGGAGGCGCCGCCCAGGGGCCCCAGCGCCGATCCGAGAAATCCGCGCGGACCTCCGAGTTGTTATGTTCGCGTCACTTTTTGACCCCCTATGGACTCAAAGGCCCCGGCACACTGCCTGTAGTTTTCGGAAGTCTCGGAGGCCTCCGGCGGTCTCCGCGGAGGCCCCCGCAGAGAGGCCCCTGGTCGCCGCGGCGCGGCCTATCGCGGAGGTCCCCCCCGCTGGAGGCCCCTGGAGGCGCCCAGGGGCCTTCAGAGAGGCCAACATATATCATGCCCGCCGGGGCGTGCCAACAACGACGCATCATCGAACCTCCACTCGGGTCGGGCGAAAGGGGGGGATAGCAAAGGGGGGTGGTTGAGAATCAGCTCACGTAGCTGATTTTCCCTGCGCCTCCCGGCGCCGGAGGCGGCTATGTATCGAGGAATGGGCCCCTCGGAAGGGCCGAACCAGCTGCATGCAGCAAATTTCGTAACCCCCCCTTTCCCTATCCCCCCCTTTTGTCCGGCCCGATCCACGAACCTCCGACGCTTTGATGCTGTGCCAAGCACGGGTGCCAACATGGTGCCCCCCTTCTGTGTGTTTGCCCTGGGCCACTTCGGATAGCCTCAGACGCCAGAGCCGGCAATCGGTGCGACATCAACCTCGCCTTGACTCTTGCAGATCGTGGACGCCGGCACCATGAAAGTCGCGACTGAAGCCCCCGACCCCATCTTGCTGTGGCACATATCGAAACTGGTCTATCCGTGAGGGTCCTGGAGTTCGAAACCAGGGCGGGATACGATGAAACTTGCGACATGTCTGCCTAGATGCTAGCAGGACGGTGGAATTGTGGACCTCCTCGAAGAAGGCTGTCAGGAGGAGGATGGGGGAGCAGGAGGAGGAAGAGGAGAAGCAGGAGGAGCGACGACAGCCTGGCTGGCGTATATTATTTGGTCTTCTGGGCCCGCTGTCATTTTTGTTGTTGTTTGTCTTGTGCGCCTCTCTGTATGTATGCTACGTCCGCCAGGCGTAATTTGTTGGCCTACATGTCTGTGTCGGCACTTGTTTTTCTCTACACGGACGCTGCAGCCAAGGCGCTCGAGTTCGCCCAACGTTAAACAGGAGCGATGAGACAGTCCACAATCCTCGAGCGACGACGACGATGAACCTCCACCTCGATCCGACCTTTGACAGACTGAAGAGGAGGAGGGAGAGGAGGGGTAGGAGGAGGAGGAGGAGGGGGAGGAGGAGAAGGAGGAGGAGGAGGAGGAGGCAGGAAGAGGAGGAGGAGGAGGAGGAGGAGGAGGAGGAGGAGGAGGAGGAGAGGAGGAGGAGGAGGAGGAGGAGGAGGAGGAGGAGGAGGAGCGACGAGGAGGAGCGAGGAGGATCACGATCTGGGGTGAGGGTGGAGGGGGGGGGGGGTTCAGAAGCGGATGCGAAGGGCTGCTATAGATGGCCTAACCTAGCTTACAAGTAGGCTACACGTGCGCTGAATAGTTTAGGGGGTTCGAGAACAAGGGGATAGGGGGTTTAGAAGTGGATGCGAAGGGGTGTTATAGATGGCCTAACCTAGCTTACAAGTAGGCTACACGTGCGCTAAATAGTTCAGGGGGTGAGAGAACTCCACTATAAGTGGGCGGAGCCCACCTTGGCCCGGATCGCCAGCCCCCTGAATCACTTGGGGCACCTGTAAACCACTTATGAGGTCGGATCGGCCAAATATAACCACCTTCGCATCCGCTTCTAAGCCCCCTATCCCCTTAGCAGCCGCCGCGATGCATCCCCCCCCCCCTTTGAGCGCATCCCCCCTAAGATTGCTCCCGACGGGGACACCTTCGGCCAGGGCCACCTCTGGCCAGGGGGGGGTGGGGGGGCTGCCTGGGGCACCCTAGCGACACCAGCGGCCAGGGATACCTCGATCCCTCGATCCTCGAACATCGATCACGTAACCTCGATCCTCGATCCTCGATCCCTCGATTCTCTCATATCGTTCTTCGAACCTCGATCCTCGAACCTCAATCCTCGGACCTCGCTCCTCGGACCTCGCTCCTCGCTCCCTCGATCCTCTAGTCTCGATCCTCGGTCTTCGACCCAGACCCCCGGCCCTCGATCCTGGCACCTCCACCCCGAGACGTCGACCTCGAAACTCGATCCTCGCACCTCCACCCTCGAGCCTCGAGCCTCCACCCTCGAGCCTCGAACGTCGAGCCCGAAACTTTGGGGAAAGAGGGGCTGCCTGCGGCCCCCCGGCCCCCTCGGCCCCGGAGAGCCGGGGGGGCGGGCGCCGCAGGCCCCGAGGGCACGGAAGGGGGGCACCCGAGCTCGACCTCCGGGGGGTCCATCACGCCTTCTCCTCCCTCGTCCTCGTCCTCCTCCTCCCTCATCCTCGTCATCCTCCTCCTCCTCCCGCCTCCGCCTCCGCCTCCTCCTCCTCCTCCTCCTCCTCCTCCTCCGCCTCCGCCTCCTCCTCCTCCTCCTCCTCCTCCTCCTCCTCCTCCTCGTCCTCCTCCTCCTCCTCCGCCTCTTCCTCCCGCCTCCCGCCTCCTCCTCCCGCCTCCTCCCGCCTCCTCCTCCTCCCGCCTCCTCCCGCCTCCTCCTCCTCCCGCCTCCTCGTCGACCTTCGAGGGCACCTCGGCTCGCTGGAAGCTCTGATCCGATCGAACTAACCCTCCGTATCCTTCTCCTTTTGCCCTGGTGGTCCTCCTCCTCCTTCTCCTCCTCCTCCTCTTCTCTCTCTCTCTCTCTCTCTCTCTCTCTTTTTTGTTTTTTTTGTTTTGTTCTCTCTCTCTCTCTCTCTTTCCTCCCCCTCCGTCCTCGTCCTCCCGAGGGTTGAGCTGTTCTGTTGTGTGTATGTGCATGCGTGTTTTAGTTGGCCGGCGCCAGCTTGACCGACTCGAGCGCTCGCCGAGCCCGCGACCAACAGGAGTCTGGCTTCGTCGGGGATCTGCTGACCCAGGTCAATTCGGGGATCTTCTAACCTAGGTCAATCTAGACCCGGGTCAGCAGGAAACCAAACACTGCTATGCAGGAACAAACACTGCAACGCAGGTCTTCGCAAACCCGGGTCAGCCAATATGCGCGGCCGCCTCGCGGCCACGAGCGGCTCCTGCAAGAGTAGGCGCCCTGGCTGACCCCCGTTTGCATTGACCCCCGTCTCTTGGGTCCCGATCAATGCAAGCCCCAGGTCCGTCGGGCTGTGCAGGATCCTGCCGATACATAAGGGTCGCGGTACGCCCACGCTGCTTCACCTCTGGCCCCAGTCCAGGACAAACCAGGACTAAAATTCCCCCCGGCACTCTCTTTCCTTCCCCCCCACCGGCGCCTCGAGGGCGGAAACTCGAAGGCCGAGAGGACCGAGGCCTGGGGATATCCAGGCCTGCCCAGCGCCCCTTCGTGCCTTCCAGACCCCTGGGGGCCAGAGACTTCCATGCCGAGGCCACCAGGCCCTGGCCCTATCGAGGGGGAAAACAAACCTGCCTCGCTTTTGACCACCCTCGCTTCCAAGAGATACCAGCCGATGCCAAACTGCAGCCTGTACTGGTCAGGCCGCTTGACGAGGAGGCGCGTGGCATGGCTTGGTTTTGCCTGGAAGCGAACGCGGGGTAGGTAATTCACGCTCTAACTACCAGGAGAAGAAACATCCCATCGCGTTGCCGGTTCACGGTGCCTCTCCTCGCCCTCGCGCTGCACCATGCCCCACCTGTCGCCCGCTCGGGTGCCGCGAACTGCACCGAGCGCACTCTGAGAGAGCGCCGGGCAATTGGCCCGAAAATGAAACAAAAACAAAATCCTGACAGGTGCCAGCGCCATGTCCTATGAAAAACCACGTCTAAGTAGTCTAACGACAAGCGCCCGTCCCCATCCTGGTCCTCCCCACTCGGCGTGCAATGAGCGTGGGTCGAGAGAAGAGGGGGGAGGAGGAGGCAGAAGAGGAGGAGCTAGTACAAGGAGCAGGGAGTGGGCGATACTGGACCGTCGTGGTACTCACAGGGAGGAGGAGGAGGAGGAGGAGGAGGAGGAGGAGGAGGAGGAGGAGGAGGAGGAGGAGGAGGAGGCAGGAGGGGTGGAGAAGTGGTTGGGGCGAGCACGGAGCATGGATTGGCCTGCCTCCGACACGGCAGGTCCGATGGGTGAGGGGAAGAGCGGGAGGGCGGAAATGATAGGGAGGAGAGACCAGACAGTACCGTCGGGCTGCTGGTATGATAAATGACAGATAAAGAACGATTCCTCTTTTCCTCCAAGTCAGGCAGTGAAATCCGAAGAAACGGCCGCAGAATCAGAAGGAGCACCGAAGGGGCTCGCCACCAAAGGAGCCACGGAACGCACGCAGACCTAATGAATCACGGGGCCCTTCGGACCTCGAAGTGGACCGTGTTATTTCAACGAGCTGGCTGTAGGAAGGCAAAGGAGGAAGGAGGCGACACGAGGATGAACTGAGTATCGTTTAACCGATCCCCATCCCCAGCAGCGTGGCCTGGGCCCCACTGGCCGATTTATCCCCCTAGATGGGGATATAGGTCGTTCCCTTCGGGCTTCGAGGGGTGTATCCCCAACTGGGGTGGTAACTGGGTGGGGGTCTCGAAGGGGATGGGGATGGGGATCGGTGAAACGATACTGATGGACCTCACCTACAACAAGACCAGGAATAGCAGAGAGAGAAACCTGGCAGAATCGATTCTGTCCACGCACGCCAGGCGGCAGCGCCGGCGATGTGCCAGCGGCACGGTGCGCGGATGACCGCGTGCCTGGCTGCAGCCAGCGGCCTCTCGAACGCGGCGCAGGACGGAGACGCATGCCACCCTGAGATCTGGCATCGTGGGAAATCACGCCCGGACCCCAGGCCCCCATCTCCCTGCGTCACTCTTCGAACCGCATCGATCTGTGAGGGCCCCGGGGCCCGAAACTGAGCGCAGGCGCCCGGCTCAAAAAAAAGGTTGGATCGCCATGCCGGCGGGGCGACAGAGGCCCCGCCGCACGAGGCTCGGTGGGGGCACCCGTGAGGCTGCCCGGCGGCGGGGCCGAGCGCCGGCCGAGGCCCTGCGCCCGTCGCCTTCGGCTCCTCGCCCTGCCTCGAGGCAGCACCGCCCGCTGGCGCGGCTGGAGCCGTGCCTTCGGAGCCTCGCCGCGCGGCCGCGCGGCCGCGCCTCGAGCTCCGCGCGCGGGCGCCGCGTGGGCGGCGCGAGGGGTCCCCCGTGGCGCCGAGGCCGCGGCGCACGCACGAGGTGCGAGCGCCACGAGCTGATCGCCGGACAGCTTGCAGCACGTCGCGACGGCCACGGCTGCCCGAGCCGGAGGCTCCACGGGAGGGCACGCCCCACGACCGTCCAAGAGGCACGCACCCTCAGCTCTCGGCGGCCAGGCGCGCGGCGCCTCCAGCGCGGGCAGCGGGACGAGGCGGGCTCGAGCAGAGGCGGGCGGAGGAGCGCCTCTGGCAGCCTGGGGGGTGGGGCGACCCGGTCGCCGCCGCAGCCCCCGCGCCCCGCCAAGCTGCACCTGCATCGCGACGCGCAGCCGCGCTGCGTCGGCCGCTGGCGCCGCGCGGGCGCCTCGGGCGTCGGAGCCGGGCGCGCCGCGCGCGCCAGCCCGAGGGCGGCGGGCTGCCGCGGCGCGGGCGCCTCGGCGGCGGCAGTGGGCAGCGCCGCGGGGGGCTCCTCGGGCTGGCCGCCCGGCAACAGGGCCTCCCACGCCGAGTCGAGGCCGGCGACCTCGACGGGCGGCCCTGGGCCCCCTCGCGAGCGGGCGGCTCCTCGCCGCAGCAGCGAGGCCCGCCCTGCCGGGGGGGGGCACGCTGCGCGGACCCCCCGCACGAGCAGTGCCGCTGGCCTCTGCGGGCCTGGCGCGCTCGGGCGCCTCCGCGGGCGGGCCCTCCGCGCGCGGCCGCACGCGGAGGGGCCCAGAGATCCGGGCCTCCGACGAGTCGGCTGGCTTCCACCGCGGCGTGGGCCCCCCTCGGCTACACGCTACTCGCAAGAGTGACCCTGGGCAAGTCGTGCCCAGGGTTCGGTCCCCCCGCGGCCCCCCAGAGGGCCGCGCACCAGAGGCCGAACGCGCAAGACGCTGCTGCCGCAGCGACTTCGGCGATCGGGGGGCCCCAGTGGGCCCGCACCAGAGGTCGCTCCGGCGAAGGGTCACGCTTACGTGTAGTCGACGTTCGCCGCGCTCGCCGCTCGGGTCGCCGCCGGCGTCGGGCGCGCATTGCCGCGCGCTCGTGCGTCTGCTCCGTGCACTCTGGGGCCTGGACCTCCTGCGACCTCGGTTTCGGGCCCCGAGGGTCATCAGAAACGGGCCCGGGACGTAAAACCCCCCCCCCCCGGGTACGGGGTCGGGAGCTCTGGGGCTGCGGTTTGAAGCAAGGTGTCGGAGCGTGGTTTGGGTAGGGGAACGGGCGCCTGGTCAAGATGCAGCACGTGCATGCGCTGGGAAACCTTGGCGAACGGAATCTTGGAGGCGCGCGGTCTGGTCGACCTTGGACCTCGCCAGGTGCCTCTCACAACTCCGGCTGGGCGCCTGTGGCCGTTGGGGGCTTCCACGGTAGGGGACCACATGCGAACCCTACCCCTACGCCCCACGATTTCTGAGGGGGAGGGTGGGGTTCACTTCGCTCGGAAGCTCCCGAACGGAGTGAACCCCACCCGCCCCCTCAGAAATCGTGGGGGGTAGGGGTAGGGTTCGCATGTGGTCCCCTACACGGGGCACCCTTTGGCAGGCCAGGCCCTTGCCCGATGCGTCTGCCGTGATCGAAGGAAGGCCGCTGCGGCGCGGCTGGGCGCGGAGAGGCCAGTAGGGCCAGGGCCTCCCGCACAGCCGGTTGTCGCCGACTCCGTGGGGCGCGCGCGTGGTGCGCGTCGCCGGGGCGCCTGACACGGACCGAGCGCCGACGCAGGGCTGCAAGCACGCGGAGCGGGGCAGCGAGCGGGGGCGCAGGAGGGCGGCGCCGACGGCCGAAGCGAAGAGCAGACAGAGCACAGCGGTTGCGGGCTGCCGCCCCGGTGTCGGGAAGGACGCGCTGGTGCTTGGACCCTGCGTGGTCCTTGGCGTCCGCTGGGCCCGATACACGGTCAGCCTCCCCCCCCGTGATTTGTTGCCCAGAGCCACCGCCAGCGGCTTGAAGGCCTGACCCCTTCACGCTTCCCGCATAACTCCACGCGGGGCCCGGCCCCAATCCTGCGACAGCCGCCTGGGGCCCAAGCGCCCCGCAGGGACCCCCTCCAACGAGCGCCACGCCTGCGGGAGCTAAGGAGGCCCACGAAGGCGGGCGGGAGGGTCACTGAAGGGCCACAGGGCCAACTGCTGTGGGTTTGGGGGATTGCGCCTCGGCTGCCCTTGTCCTGGAGGCCAGGAGGACAATGCTAGTACACCTGCCAACAGGAAAATGATGGTCGGCCCTTGCTCGAGCCTACCCTCTTGCTGCTCGATCCCTCCCTTCTGCGTGACCTGCTCCTCGAGGGTGGCGTCCAGGATCCTCGCGAAGGCCTCGCTCCTCTCCTCGTGGCACGCCTCGGCTGCTCGCCGTGCCGCGCGCGACGGGCGGGCGCCCGTCGCCAGCTCGAAGCCGGCCGGCTTGGGCACCAGCGCGCCGTGGTGCAGTCGATGGCCTCGGCGCGAACGGCCGCGCCGAGGCCTGCGCCCGCGTGCGCGGGAGCGGGGTGCCCGCCAGCGGCGGAGCTCGGCGCGGAGAGCGCTGGAGGCACGAGGGCCTGGGGCCCTGCGGCCCCTCCCAGGAGCTCGCCGAGACTGGCACGGCCCCCCCCGCGGGGCGCCGACCACCGCCGCCACCCCCCCAGGCACGGTGACTGCCGACCGAGGTGCCGGCCGGCGCCCGCTCGGAGGCGAAGACGGGTGTCTGCCGCGGTGCGCCCCGACCAGGCTGCGACCAGGAGCGATGTTGGCGGGCTGGGCCCCGAGCGGCCGCGGCACCTCTGGGGTGCTCCGCTGGCTGCTCTGCTTCTGTGTCCTCGGGCGCACAAGGCTTGACCAGTGCCTGCGGCTCCGCTGCCGCCCCCCTGCAGGCGCCCACCTCCGCTTGCCGTGGCCAGCTCCTGAGAAGTGCACCCCGAGCGTGGTCCATAAGCATCTTCAGGAGGTCGTCGCGCAACTGCCACGGCAGACGGGGCGTCGGACACGGCAGCCACAGTTGCACCGCCCTTGGGAGCGAATGAAAGCAGCGCGTCCGCGCGGCCTCAGCAACGCAACGCCCTGGAACCAAAGAACGGCCGCAGAGAAAGAGAGCTTGAAGAGCAGGGAGGGGCGAAGGGGAAAGACCACCCAGACCTTCACAGCGTGGATCCCCAGAGGTCTCTCGACCGCTTCCCTGACACCGCCGCCTCCTCCCGAGCAATTGCTGTGGAAGCCCCCGGGGCCTGGGCAGGCGCCCCGCGGAGACCGAGCACTTGCCCCAGCCCTTCCGCTGTGACGTTGTCACGGCGCGAGGGCGTTGGGGTTAGGTCGAGCATGTCCTCCTACAGGGGGACTGTGGCGGATAATTGCAAAATAGCCGGAGAAAACGCAAACAGAATCAGAAATAAAAGAAAAGTCATCCCGTGACTAGTTTTGGACTAATTTGAATCTTCCTCTTGTAGAGGGTCATGACCGACGTAAGGTTGGGTGGTCTGAGCCCACAGGAATTGCTGCCCCCGGGGTCGCGAACTGACGTGGGTGCGCGCGGTGCCCCCACTCCGGTGCACTCTGGTGAGCCCCGCTGTCCCTGCACCCATCGCGCTCTCTTCTCACAGTCAAGACGCTGTAGCAAGGACCACTTTGGGGGATCAAGGAGGGGGGGCTCTGGTTTTCGAGCCGGTCCTCGGGTCTAGGTCGGGGCACCTTTCCATAACCGAGGCTCGCCGTAGCCAGAAAAGCCCCGTCGCTCCATATCGAATGCTATTTGTTTTAGCAGGATGACTGCAGGAGCCGCGAGCGGGGTGTCTAAAGCTAGAGGCCTCCTAGATTGGGTCCCAAAAAGATGGTGTCGGCGCATCGGCGATGCATCGCCGATGCATGTGCGGTGCACCGGCGACGTCAGCGATGCAGTGGCGCCGCTGGCGTGGAGGAAACTGGGCTCCACATCGAGCCGCATCGCAGATGCATTGACGATGCGGCGCGATCCTCCGACCCCATCTGCTCCGACCCCATCTGGGAGGCCCAGGAGTGTGCCTGCATGGAGGCTGCCCAGGCAGGGCCAGAGCAGACGGGGTAGGAAGATCGCAGACCCCCTCGGACCGTAGGATGAGAACCGGGTCCTCAGGACGGGGTCGAGACCTCCGGGGGGGTCCACGTGGTGAACAATCGCGTCGGGGATATGTGATCGCACCGCTTCGCTGTTGACAGTTGCGACCTTGGGAGGGATCGTGCCATATCGCAGATGCATCTGCGATGTGGAGTGATCTTAGGTCCCCGTCGAATCCGGTTCCATCTGGCTGGCCTGGGCTACAGCGCGTTCCTGCTTGGCTGGCCGAACCAGCACATGCCACGGGTAACAGAGAGTCGGGACAAACTAGTATGGTGCGCATCCTCTGGCCAAAGAAGTGCCTCTACACAGCCCTCGGTTTGTATGTCGAGAGACACCCTGGATGCGCTTGCTCGGAGGCCAATGTCTTATCTGTTGCGCCGGACGTAGCGAAGCATGGTATCAATGCTGCACAACCATCGCCAACTGGCTGTGCGGCACTCCGTCTGCAGGCCCGTCCCTCCATACAGGATACCAGCGCACAAATGCCAATCACTTGCCGGTCCTGGTCTCACTTGCCTTCGACCATTTCAGAGAAGGCGCCCTTGACCTCCGTGAGCTTCGACTCGGCCTTCTTCTCGATGCCCATCAGCGCCGACGACTTGGCGTCTACCTTGTCCTTCTTCGCCTCCGCTATGATCTCCTTGGTAATTCAGGCTTCGGGCTGCGCACAGACAGCCCGCCAAGTTAGGCCAGGCTGGCCTCAACTGCCCCCCCCCGAGTATTTAGCCTGGGCCGGTCTCAACACATCAACCCTGGGGCGCAGAGCGCCCCAAGGTCGCAGCCAGAGGCGGCGCCCGGGTGGGGAGACCGCCCTGGACTGCTGCTCGGGGAGCCGGTGGAGGCCAGCATGGGGCTACCTGCGGGGGGGCTCTGTGTGCGCAGGCGGAAGTCTCACCAGATCTCCTGCTTGACCTTCCCCAGCTCGACCTCCGCCTTCTGCTCGAGCTCCTTCGCCACCTCCACCACGTCCTTGTTCTGCTCCGCGGCCTCCTGGGCACGCGGCGCTGGCCGGAGACGCTCGCGCACAGGCTCGTGCGCAGCATCCCCGCTCCAGCGCGCACTCCTCCACACGCCGGGGGTAGACAGGACCCCCATCTAGCAAAGCAACCTTACGTAAAACAACAAAAAAACACGGGACTAAACCTGGTGGGCGAAGGCCGGCCACAATTGCGGCCGCAACGCCGTCTCGAGAACCGAACGGAAGGCAATTCGCTCACCTGCTTGGCAGGGCGGGGTTTCTGTCAACCTCCTGGTGCCTTCGTCATCACCCTCCTCCTTCTGTCTGATCAGATCTCCCTCGAGCTGATCTGGCTACGTGCCCCAGGACTGCTAACTACTACCTCCAGCTATCCGTCCTTCCTCCTGGCCATCCCCCATATCCTACCTCCTACCCTCCTGCCTCCTGGCCTTCTCCTGCGAGCTTCAGCTTGCACACACAGAGTTTCTCAAAGAACACTGGGCATAATGATGGCGAATCAGCGGCCTGTGCCGCACGTGACAATACTAGGAAGCGGGGGAGGCAGGAGGGAGGGAGACGGGAGGAAAGAGGCGGGAGGAGCGGGAGGGAGGAGGAACAAAAAAAAGGAGCTAGACGACAGAGGGCGTGGAGAAGAGGACGAGGAGGAGAAACAGGGTGGAAGATGATTGCGAAGAGTAGAGGGGTTGGGGATGACTAGGGGCAGGAAGAAGTGGAACAAAAAGAAAACAAAACGGGCTGGTTTCGATTATTGCAATCGGGTGCAATGCGGATCGATTATCGATCTGCCGACCGTAAACTGCGCCTCCGCCAGCATGCTACTAGCGCCAAATGAAGACAGCGTGAAATACCAGCGAGCTAGCTCTACAACGACTGCAACACGCCGTTGACATCATCTCCCCTGCTTGATCTGCACTTCATCCGTAGCACGCGATGCGCTGGGGCATGCTAACTCACACCCTGCCTGCATACATACGGATTGGACGGAAATTGTGCACATAGTCCATGGCCAATCAGGACTGAAACACGCTAGAGCGACGCACTTTATTCGCACATCAGACTGAGTTAGTGAACAATGTTCCACCCATCGCTACGTAGCCCAAGCGTACCCCGAAACTGGTCATCGGAGAAGCTCTCGGCATGGACTGCGACCCCCGCCCACGAAACACATTCGCATCATGTCGCGCCGCTCGTGCGGTTCTTTCCGCCGTGTGTGCAAATATTATCCGCGAGTCCTTCTTGGCCTCCTTGATGAGGTCGTCCTTCACGTCAGCAAGCACAGCCTCTTCCTTCTTCACCTCTTCTGCGACCTGCTCTTTGACCTTCGCCAGATTAGCCTGCGCCTCTTTTTCAGCCTGCTCGGCCGCCGCCTTTTTCTCTTCGAGGACCTTCATGATCTCGGCTTCCTTCTTCAATATGGCAGACGCCTCGTCTTTAGCCGTGTCCTCTTCGGGGATTTATTGTTGGCAATCGTTCGCTCGCTGTGGGTGTTTTGGATGTGTCTACGGATGGGCTGCAAACCTACTCTCCCTAGGAGTCTGCACAGGGGGGGTGCAGCGGTTGTCAGAGCGTCGAAAGAGTCGACGAGGCCGCAGGTGATTGCGTATTGGTGACCATGTGACGCAGGATGATTCCAGCTGGCTTAAGATTGTCTCCAACGTTACAGGGGGACGCCTCCCCGCCCCATGCCACTGACCCAAACTGCTGCCACCCGAGGAAGCACCAGGTACAGCAAACTTGGTTTCGTAATTTCTGGCAATTCTTTGGGCTGCGGGGCCCAATCACCCACCAGCTCCCGTTACTCGGGGTTCCCACTGCATCAGAATGGCTCTGAGGTGGCTCCCAGGAGCCTTACGGATACCCCCGAGAGGCTCACGCGCGTTCACCCTTAATACCATGCAATGTTTCCGCCTACTCCCCGCTTCGGTTTCCGATGGTCCTCTGCGGCCCAAGGATGGACCCGAGATTGCCCAAGTGGCTTCAAAGAATGCCCCAAGGGCTCTCAGCAGCCCCCAGAGAAAGTCCAGAGACTGCGTCATGCAGGATTCTTCCGGGTTCCATTAGGGGGCGCTGATTGGGGACGTTTATGGCCGATTGAACTTTCAAAGACAGCTCCAAGAAGGCCAAACAGATTTCCCCCAAACATTGCCCTGAGAGAGGCCCAAGAGGGCCCCGAAAGCTACCACATTGGCGACACAACAAGAGCCCACAGATTGTCAACATGCCTGCACCAAACTTTCACAGAACCCGATGCTCGCAATTTGGGGATGATCCAGCTGATCGCTCCTCTGGTTGGACTGGTGTCACAACCTTCGTTCCACTAATGGTCCTACGATCTCCTTCTCATGGTACCTCGCTTGGGAATCGTTGTTGCATTGGCTGGTGGCGGTACGCAAAGCGAAAGCAGTCAACAATTGCCCCAACCTTGCGGCAACCATTCTCTCCGTAACGTTCACAATAATACCTAACCGATGTCCTTGACCTCCTCCTTTGGCGCTTCCTTCGGCGCCTCCTTCGGTGCCTCCTTCACTTCCTCCTTCGGCGCCTCCTTCGGCGCTTCCTTCGGCGCCTCCTTCGGCTCCTCCTTCGGTGCCTCCTTCGGTGCCTCCTTTGCCTCCTCCTTTGGCGCCTCCTTCGGCGAGTCCTTCGGCGCCTCCTTCGGCGCCTCCGCCGACTCGAGCTTAGCCTCGTCCTTGATGATCATGGCCTCGGCCTTCTCTTCCTTCTTGAGTATATCCTCGACCACGTTCTTCTCTTCCGGATCCGCCGCCTTGGCCTTCACCTCCTCGGTTGCTTTCTCCAGGACTTCCATCGCCTTCTCTTCGGCCTTCAGTGTCTGCAGGTTGTCCTGCCAAGGTGACGCAAGCAAACTGACAAAACAATACATCTGGGAGGCCACTCGCAAGAATCAGAGGCGACACATTCCTCGCCTCCCATCCGTCCCGCGGGCTCCTGTCTAAGACGGGGTCGGAATAATGCGGACAAATCGGACACGCAGCGATGTGAGGCCTCTCTGGGAGCTAGCGGGCTTGGAGGAAGTAGCAGGCTCCGAAGCCGAACCAGACTGGTCCAGACCGCTCTGGGAGGGCTCCTGAACGCTCTGGAGCGATTTCCATATTCGTATCCTAGGACTGCCTCCCCTCCCCTCCCACGACCTCCTCACAAGAAGCTAGCCGCCCACCTGCTAACCAGACAGGGCCCTGCTGGTGTGGCAGGAGCTGGCGGCAGTGGGGACCGACACCTCCGAGGATCCCCCAGTACTATGGTTTCCGGGGAAGAAAGAACGCCCAGCTATACACGTTAGCCAAAGTGGACCCAACACAAGATTTTTCTAGCAATATAGGTGTTGTAAAACACGCGGGGCAATATATGTGGTGCAATCGATGTTGTGTAATCGATGCTGTGCAATATATAATGTGCGACCTATGTTGTGCAGTCGGAGTCGTGCGATCAATGATGTGCAATCTATGTTCTACAATCTGTGCAATCTATGTGGAGCAATATATATATATATATATATATATATACATATACATATACATATATATATATAGATGGTGCAATATATGTG